GCCGCAATCCCTTCTCCTCCATTCTCCTCTCGGGATCTTGGGCATGCACGCACACGCACCCGGCGTGAGTTTTAAGCCACCAGGTCCAGGACGCGAACCGCAGTTGACAACGTGGGAGTCCAGCGACATAGCCATTACGCTAACTGCTGGTCCCAGCACCTGGCATTTGTTTTTAAACCCGCTGGGTTGGAGCCTGGAACTGTGCAGTCAGCCACATGGGATCCAGTCACCTTAATCACCATGCCACCTGTTGGCCTCATACTGAACTTTCGTAACAAGAAGCAGATGTAATAAATAAGGAAGCATGGGGACCAGCAGATGGCATTACGGTTACATTGCTGGACTCTCACGTAATCAACTGCAGTTTGAGTACCGGGCCGGGAGGCTTAGAACTCATGCTGAGTGTGTGTGTCTGCATGGCTAAAATCCTAAGAGGAAGAATGGAGGAGGACAGACTGCAGTGTGACTGGCCATCCCTCCGGGGTGGGGGGGGACGTAATTTCTCACTTTCTGTCTCTCTGGCAAGTGCATGTGCCCTATAGCAAAAAACAAAAACAAAAACAAACAAACAAAACCCCCCCAAAAAAAACCCAAAACACACACACACATACACAAAAACAAAGCTTGTGGAGGGCATGGTGCAGGGCGAGGGGGGCTCACCACCCCCCTGCACTGATGGCAAATCCAGGTCCCCTTAGCACACAGGCGCTGCGATGGTTTCTACCCGGGCCAAGGCAAGGAAGGTGAAGTAGCAGGAAGTGGTGGGCAAGGCTGGCCGAGGGTCAGAGGGCAGAGCAAGAGCTCAGAGCTCACGCGCAGAGAGCCCTGAGTGCGGATTCAGTCCCCATCATGTCCCAGAGAGGATAGCCCGCTAGTCGCCCTCTCCGGTGCTAACAGCTTTGTTGAGTGGTGGCTCACTAAACGCGCAGTTCACACACGTAGCAAGCACCTCCATGCTTTCTAGAATGCTCCTGGAGTTGCACAGCTGTCACCACGATGGATTTGAGAGCATTTTCATCATCCCCAAAAGAAACCCCAGACTCGTTAGTGGCCGGGCCCGTCCCTTCTTCCCTAGCTCTGGCCACCACTAAGCTGCTCTCCGCCTCTGTGGGTGTGCCTGCTCTGAACGCTGCGTCCACATGGAACCGTGCCACGTGTGGGCTTTCGTGTCCGGCTTCTTTCACTGAGCACAGTGTTCCCAAGGCTCATCCCTGTTGAACCAAGCAGCGGCACTTCATTTAGCTTAACAGCTGCATGAGCCCTCTAGACTCTGAGCCTCCATTTTCTCATCTGGAAAATGGGGTTTTGTGTGGATGAGATCACAGTGTGCGGGCCTATGACAATGAATTTGCTTCCCATTGTCCTCTTGGTCTTTTCCAAAATGCTGGCTGGCCCAAGGTAACCCCTGGCTCTCAGGGCGTCTCGTGACTAGGCTGGCCAGAGAGCATCTGGGTCTCCCTGGAGAGCTGAATGAAGAGCAGGGTCAGGCAGGGCGGGGGGGAGGGGAGGGCTGGAGTCTGAGCCTGGCTGTCAGAAGAGTTGGGAGCGCGGACCTGTGTAGACGAGGCTGCTGAGTGCAGACAGTGAGGGGTAGGCGTGTGCGCAGAACACAAAGCCTGGCTGGCCCTCCACCTCCACTTCTAGGTGATTCCTGGTGTCGCTCCCCTAAGTCTCTCCCTCTGTGCCAATTCCCGTGGGTCTCAGTTATTTTCCCCAAGAGTCCCTTGCCCGGGGCCATGTGGGCTGTGCCAGGTGCACCTGGGCCTTGGCAGAGGCCGCTCTCTATGATCACCAGTGCGAGAGCAGGCGGCAAGGCCCGAGACGGCATGTGCCAGAGCTGAGGCCGCTGACCTCTGGCTTCTGACCTCTGACAGGACCTGCTCCTGCTCTGACTATCTGTGCCTTCAGAGGGCAGGGAAAAGTTCACCTGTTCTTGGCTCCAGGGAAGGACTCTGGTGAGCCTGGCTTCTTGTCCTCCTACACTTGGTGACACCAGGCCTGAACAGAACCCTCCGGTCCCCTAAATCCCGCTCCAGGGAAGGAAGCGCTGTGGAAGGGTCTGGGCTGCCATTGGCTGCCCAACTCCTCCTCCACTCACTGCCTGAGATCAGCCTCCCAGCGACAGGACACGATGTGGTTCTCCCAAGAGGAGCAGCTCATGTCAGATGCTGTGAGGTCTGAGTGGCAGCCTGGCTCTTCCAGGCAGGAGGAGCCTGCAGGGAGCCCAGGAAGAGCCGGATAAATGGAGCTCTTCTGTGGTTATGTGAAAGGAGGGCAGGAGCGGCTGGCCCTTCTCCCCTCTGACCCTCAGAAGCTGGAGCGAAAGGAGGGCAGGATCGGCCGTCCCTTCTCCCCTCTGACCCTCAGAAGCTGGAGAGGCAGGGGATGAGGTGAGCTCAGGACCAGCTGGCTGGGCAGGGGTAGGCCTTGGGGGCGAGGGGCACCTTCACTCACGATTACATTCATGCTGCTTGTCCTGACAAGGGCAGGTTGGCGACCAGGTTTTGGCGACTGCTGCCACCTCTCTGGCCAGTTCTCAGAAGGGCTCCTCCCAGAGCCACGTCCCAAGGGCAGGCCAGCCTCTGCCCTGAGCAGCCAGGGGAGGCTGTGCACCGGGATCAGCTGGGCCGCGGTTAAAGGCTGTGCTTTGAAGACAGGAGCATATCTCTGCCGTGGCTCAGCCTGGAGTGGGGATGGGGGTGCCCGGCAGGCTGGGAGTCAGGACCCAACGGGGACTCAGGCTCAGGGGTGGCCCTCTGCATGGGTGGTCACTGGAGGCAGCCTTAAAGTCCTACCAACTGCCCTTCTCCCACGGGAGGACTTACCCAGGCCCAGGTTGGAGATGGTCTCGAGGTCAGTGAAGCTGCTGGCCTCTAGGATGGCCTGGGGCAGCCGCAGCGTGAAGGGCAGTAAATCTCTGTGAAGACATGGGGGTCGGAGCTCATGTCTGGGTAGGGGTCCAACATGTCCACCCTCCCCCCCCCATCTCCACAACCCCCAAATCCACAAAGGAAGAGCCTTGGCAAGCCCACCGGGGGCTGAGTCTCCATGTAGACTGGAAACTTCTCTGGGGCCCAGAGATAGAAACTTACAGGGCATCCAGTCAACTCTAGGCCAGCTGGAGGGTCCCCGAGAGGCAGAAGGGCTTCTTCAGGAGTGGTGGAGCCGTCATGGCTCCCAGGTTTCCTGGCCTGCTGAGCCCAGCCAGCCTTGTCTAAAGGCATCCTTCTGGGTAAAGCAAGGGACCCTTCTCCTCCTGCCCGCTGACCCTTGCAGCTCCACAGTGAGAGGTGTGGCAAGTACATAGTCAGACTCTCCAGTGAACACACAGTCAGACTCCCCTGGTAAGTGCTCAGTCAGACTCTCCAGTGAGCGCACAGTTAGACTTCCCTGGTAAGTGCTCTGTCAGACTCTCCAGTGAGCACATAGTCAGACTCTCCAGTGAGCACACAGTCAGACTCCTCTGGTAAGTGATCAGTCAGACACACCCAAGGAGCGCACAGTCAGCTTCCCCGATGAGCACAGTCAGTCTTTGGTGAGTACACAGACACTCCTAATGAAAGCAGAGTCAGATACCCCTGAGGAGAACAGGTTGACAGCTGTTGGTGAGCACACAGTCAGGCAGCTCTATCTGATGCTTTTGGTCTAAATAAGGAACTGTTCAGGGTTTCCCCAGAGCGTCCAGAAGGGATTCAGACAGACAAGGGAGCTGAGGCCAAGAGAGAGTGTGTATCCAGGCTGCATGGTGAGTCGTGGGCAGAGCGCTGACGCTGGGCCTCCTGACTTCTATCTGGGGCTATTTCCTAGGGCCAGTTAGGGGAGGTGGCACTGCTGGGACCCCAGGACAGGTGGCCCCAATTCCACATCTCATCCTGGCATTAGCATTATTGAACCCCCTTTCCATTTAGATCGTCTCTCTCCTCCTTCTCCAGCTGCCTGTCCTCTGTGCCTGGTGGAAGGTGCGCCCTCAGTAAGGCTGGGTGGAGGGATGAGGCCTCCTGCTCTGAGGTCTTCCCTGTGCAGCTCAACCATAGGGGGCCGCCATGCTGTCATGGAGAATGTACTCCACGAGCAGGCCACGGGGCCCCAAGTGTCCACTGGGAGAAGGCTGCGTGAAGGAGGGAGGCCAGGTGGGCTTGCTCATGGCTAGGCCTGTGGTTCGCCATGGTGTTGGGGACATGTCTAACTCAGAGCCAGGACTGCCACGCATTTATCCAGACACCTCTCTGTACAACAACCTGGAGGTGACACAGGGCATATGAAGTGTCTCTGGATATTGCCTACTGTCTCCAGGAGTTCAGTTCCAAAGGAGCCTGTGGGCAGGACTTTAGAGTTTATAAGCACAGAGCTCGAGAGAGTTGGAGTCCATCTGGACTAACAAGGCCATGCTCATTGAGGCAATGGGCCAGGAGAGGTAGGGTGACTTACCCAGGGTCACACAGCTCCTGGGACCCTCTCCACCTCCTGGCCTGGGACTCTTGGTCCCACAGCATCCTACTCCTTTTTTTTTTTTTTAGAGGTTTTTGCTATAGGGCGCGTGCGCTCGCCAGACAGAGAGAGACAGAGAGATAGAAAGCGAGAAATCACCCCCCCGGGGGGGGGGATGGTCATGCCGCAATCCCTTCTCCTCCATTCTCCTCTCGGGATCTTGGGCACGCACGCACACACGCCCGGCTTGAGTTTAAGCCACCGGGTCTGGGATGCGGTTCGTGGTCGACTATTTGGGAGTCCAGCAACATAGCCATTACGCTAACTGCTGGTCCCAAGCATCCTACTCCTGAGAGGCTCATAAACTCGAGCCTAGGAGCTGAGCCACCCACTCCCAGAATATGTGGATGCCAGGCTCGGTGCCCTGAGACCTCCCTGAGGGTTCCCTGGGTTTCCGAGGGCAGGCAAGCAGGAGCCTGCTTTTCTGGAACATACAGAGACCTAGGATGAAAGCTTGGGAGGTGACGGGGGTGAGGCTGGTGACCACGGCTCCAGATCTCCCTGACACAGAGGAAGTGCACATGTCTGCCACTGTCTCAGCCGACCCTCGGCCAGTGGGACCAGAGTCAGAGCACCTGCTGGGCGCCAGGCATGTGCTGGCTTTTGACGTGCATTGCCTGTCCCCCTCTAGCAGCCATAGCACTGATGTTATCATTCCTGGGTGACAGAAGGTGAGGCTTGGAGAGATTCAGGAGCCTGGGCCCTGCAATGATGTCATCCTTCCTTCCTCCTTTCCTTCCTTCTTTCGTGGCACCTAGCACATGCCAAACACTGCGCTAGGCTCTCCTCCTAAGGCAGAAACTTCTCTGAACAGGAAAGGGCCGTTCCCTGAGAGTCTGACATGTCACAAAGTACGAGGGGCCAGGGATTCTGATGCCCGGTTTTGGAGGCCCAGAGGCCATGGAGGCCATCAGAACTATTGCAGGCTGCACCCAGCGGGCGGCCGGAGCCAAGGCCAGTGACTTGGAGCCATATCTAGTTTGGATCCATTTTCTGCCATTGACCAGCTGTGTGACCCAGGCTCGTGACTTGTCTCAGTCTCCGTCTCTTCATCTGTACAGTGGCAGTATCAAGAACACTTGCATCACGGAATTGTTTGCAGGATTTAAACAACTGTTGGGTAGAGGCCAGCAGGTGGCAAGGGGATTCAGGGGCTAGACTCCCACACGGCTGAGGATCGAGATCTAGTGGCTTAAAAATCACACCTGGCACGTGTATGTGCGTGCTCCAAATCCCAGGAGAACAGAGAAGGGACTTTGGCATGGCCATCCCTCCTGGGGGGTCATTTCTCACTTTCCCTCTCAAGGTTTCTCTTTCTGTCTCTCTCTGATGAGCACACACACCCTATGGCAAAAACCTAAAAAAAAAACAAAAAAAAAATCTGTTGGGTAGGGACCAGCATTTGGCATGGTGTTTAAGGTGCTAGATTCCCACACGGCCAAGTGCAGTTTGAGTCCTGGACCTGGCAGCTCGACAATCACACCAGGCATGTGTGCATGCACACCCTAAATCCCCAGAGAATAAAGGAGAAGGGATTGTGACATGGCCAACCCCCCCACTGTCCCTCTCTCTGTCTCTCTCCAATGAGCATACACACCCTATGGCCAAAACCCCAAAAATCTTATAAAAGGGAGAGAAAAAGCCGTAGGGTATAAATACCCCTGGCCCAGTGCTGTGTTCCTGGAGAGTTCCCGGTAGGGGCAGCTTTTGGCCTCAAGTACTGTTGTTGGCAACACTTTTTTGCCCATCTTGGGTCCAGGGGGATCCCTGCCTATGAGGAGGGGTACTCTGGGTTGAACACAGTCTTCATAGCAAGCGGCATGGACTAGTGGGCCTAGTGCACATGTCTGACCCAGCGCACCCTGCCCAGCCTCAAATGGGCCCTTGTTACGGTCCTGTAGCCTCAGCCATTGGCTTACGGCACCACAACATATTTTTAAATTCGTGTTGGTCTGAAACCTATTGTGAATAAATGCAGCAGTTCTGTGGGTGGTGGCCAGACACCAGCTCCACCCAGCAGCTGCTCAGTGATCACAACTGCCTCTCAGGAGGGATCAGCCCCTTCAATAGCCCCTGCACTGGGGCCAGGTCCATGCAGGCCTCCAAGCTGTCCCTGATCCTGGTAACACACAACACTGGGAAGAAGACCACTGGCCAGGGGTCGGAGGATGGCGAGGGGGGGCCCTCTTAGCTGATCCAAGAAAGCATCCGAGCTCACCCTGCTCCTCAGAGTCACCCGGGCAAAGCCAGGGACTGTCCCCTCTTGCTGTATCTTCCGGGCTGCACTCTTCCCCTGGGGCTTCCTGAGACCTCTCCCCACCCCCGTCCACACACACATGCACACACACACACACATATACACACATATCTTGCCAAACTGGCACCCAGATGGCCTCCTGTGGGGCCGAGGCCAAGGTGGCACCCAGATGGCCTCCTGTGGGGCCGAGTCTACTTACCTACTGACACAGTAGAACGCAATCAGTCTGAAGATGTCCTCAAACACAAGGACTGAGCCTTCCAGGTACAAAACTGAGGAGAGATGAGAAAGGCCTGGGGTGAGTTCCCACCACCGACAAGAAGGGAAAGTCGGCCCCCAAGGCCGTGTCCGCGGGTCCCAGCAGTTGCTGCAGAGCCTGGCAGCTGAGTCTCTGCCATGAGAAACTGACCTCTGTGCATTCACCCACCGAGCTTTCGGAAGATTCCCTGTTACAACAGCTGCTGTTTGCTAAGACATGCTCATGATTGTGGGTACAATAATGCAGAAGAGTCTGGATTGTAAAAGTAGAATCAAACATGTAACAGGCCAGGGTGGCCGAGGGAGCAGTCTTACAGCTTCCAACTCTGAGGACTCGACAGCCAGCAGAGTCTGCCGTGGCCTCTGGAGGTACCCCTGTTACAGGAGTCAAACTGGGGCCACTGGCCTTTCCCCCAAGATCCGCAGGGCCCTTAGAAGTTAACTTGATTTGGTTGCACCAGTAACTCAAGGCTGAGGGCAACCCTGAGATTTCGCAGGGAGAGGAATCAAAGCATTAGCCCAAGACAGAACCCCAGGTGGATAAGGCTCCTGAGCGGCAGGGCACTGGCTGTGGCAGTCAGTGCCTGGCTTGGGGGGTGGGCTGACCAGAGGAGAGCCTGGCCCCATGCCACCCCCTGCTTTGGGGCTTTGGGCACGGGCCTGGAGCAGCTCAGCAAGTTGTTTGAGGATCAAGGCAGGTACCTCCTTCCATGACCAAGCCTCTCATCCCGGTGCCCCACACCCCCAACAAGGAGTGCTTCCTGCACTTGGGTACCCCAGAGAACGGCTGAGAAGCATGTGGCCATCACGTGGTAGTCCCAGTTTCTGGAGCCCCTGTAGCTTCCATGTGACAGAAGAGGAAGGGGAGACCAGTCTCCAGGCCTGGCTCTGACCCTGGAATGGGGAGCATGACCCCGAGTACACCCCTTTACTGCTCAGTGCCTCAGTTCCTCTACCTGCAAAGGGAAGAGACTGCTCCCCACTAAACACACATGCAGCTAGGTGACTAACCTGCTGTCCTGTTTCTTATTTTTCTTTATTATAGAGCATACGTGCAGGTGAGAGACAGAGGAAAGCACCCTCCACAGCGTCTGGTCACACCACGATCCCCCAGCCTACTAGATCCTGGGCACTCATGCACCTGCCCGGCTGACCGGGCTGGGGATTTGAACAGCAGTTGCCATGTGGGATCTGCCTTCCCTTGAGCAGCACATTACAGCTCCCCCGTGGAGCCAGCCCTACTGCTGCTGTTTCAAAGCCTAGGACAGCACCCCACTATATTGTAGGTCTGTGAGATAGCACTAGGGGTACGTGAGTCAACACGGTCTATTGGAATGGCTTTATTTTTGTAACTGTCTTGTTTTGTGCCCCAAGCATTGTCCTTAATAGTTCATATGAATTTTAAAACATGTACACTCATCTGTTTATGTCAGAGATAATGGTTTCCCATTAGAGGAGATGTAAAAAATTTATGAGAGTTTAAAAAAATGAACCAGATTACAGAACCAGAGATACTTGGAAGATGCCTACAAATGACTAAATCTAAGAAACGCTGCCCACGCCCACGGTATTGCCACCCCAGTGAATTCGTGGCAGTGGAGGTGGCCCAGCGCCACCTAGTGCCTACATCTGGTGCAACACGGCAGGACCAGAGGAGCCCCACAGACCATGGCCACTGGAGGCTGGGCCTGAGTGCTGGAGCACAGAGGTAGCGAGAACTACCTCTCTGGAGGGGCTGGAAAGACCTGTCTCACAAATCCTGAGTGGCATTAATGGTCACGCATGCAAAGGGCAGACCCAACAATGAGCAGCTCTCCCTTGCCACTGACGTGTGGTCCGACCTTGCAGAACTACATCAGTCACTCCCTCTTCTGTGCCCCCAGCACTTTCCGTTTTCAATTTTTTTTTTTTTTGCACCAAAATACACTCATACCTTGATTCTAATTTTCCACAAACTTTTGAAGTCCCCGTTGAAGGCCTGTGCTTTCCTTCTAAATGACCATGTCGTTGGTTTGAGACTTACTCCACCTAACCATCTGTTTGCTGAATCAGCTCCTTGGGTGCAGGGGCCAGGGCTCATCCCTTCCATAGCCCAGAGGCCGGCACATTGTAGACAGGCCCAATCGCCTTTTTACCGTGAAAACTGCAGATGCGTACAACCACGGGCTAAGGTCAAGGTTCAGCTCATATCTTTGCAATTAGGCTTTTTCTCCCCCAGCCCCACCTCTACCCCCTTACTGTTCCCATCTTGCTCAGGTAAGAATATTTTGTTCCAATATCTTTATTATTGAATTTGCTTTCACCCCTCCACACAGGGGCCACACAGCGGGCAGCTCCCGTATGCCAGAGCCAGGCTCTGCCCATCCTCTAGGCTCCCTCAGCATCCGGCCCAGTGCAGGGCACATTGTTTGGAAGGCTGTTAAATGTTTACGCAAAGTCTCTCCAGGAGGGAGACTCCAGAAGGTTCAAGGCCTCAAGGCCAGCGTCTCAGTACTCCCTACCATGTGGGTCTCGACCCTTCCTGCTATGGGCCCAAGGGACACTCCAGACTGGAGGGAGTCTGAATGGACAGCTTCACACTCTTCCAGAACAGAGGTGGACACAACTGGTAAGAGATACACAGCCCTCTGCCCCGATGGGTGTGGGCCTAGCTTCCAGGACCACCCGGCGTCCTGCACTGCTCTGGCCTGGCAGGTTGGGTGAAACACGTCTCCATCACGTGGTTCCTTGGCCTCTCTGTCTTGGCTTCTCCAGCTATAAAACACGGATAAGGAAGTACTTGCCTATTTTGGGTTGAATTGTGTACCCCACAAAGATAGGTGGAAGGTCCAGCCCCTGGGACATGTGAAGCTGACTTCGTTGGAAATAGGTTCTCTGAGGACTACGTCATCAAGTGAAATTGGTCATACTGGATTAGAGCGGTCCTAATGCTAGTGACGGGTGTCCTTAGAGGCAGGCCATGTAAGGACACGGAACACAGACACACGGAGCGAGGCATGCCTGTGAAGATAGAGCCCGAGGCCAGAGCAATCTGTCTTCAAGCCCAGCAGCAGAACGGATGGGCAGAAAGCACCAGAAACTTACTGACAGAGACAGACACGGGACAGATTCTCCTTGGGACTCCAGAAAGAACCAACCCTGTCAACACTTGGACTTCAGATTCCGGCCTTCAGAAGTGGGAGAGAATACGCTGTCACTGTTTTAAGCCGCCCACTTTGTGGTAATTTGTCACATCAGCCACAGGAAACAACACGGCTCGTGCCCATGGCTGTGAGCCTGAAAGAGAGAGATCTGCAGGAGCCACTCCCAACAGCACCGAGCGTGTAACAAACTGAGAGTTCTTTCTTTTTAAAAAATTATTTTATTTAATTCTATTCATCATCATCATTATTATTATTTTAATTTGACCAGAGATAGACAGAGAGAGAGAGAGAGAGAGAGAGAAAGTGAGAAAGGAAGCCACCAGATCCAGAACTCGAACTGTGGTCAGTCATGAGGGAGTCCAGCATCCCAACCACCACGCCACCTGCCAGCTCCCAAACTGAGATTTCAACAAGACAATTGTGGTGGAAGGTGGGCCGGAGGTTGGAGAGTCCTGTGGCCTCGCTTGGCTTCATTTCATCTGGCTCCTCGACAGAGAGTGTGCCTCTTGGCTAGAGAGCGTGCCCCGCAGCTAGAGAGTGTGCCGCTCGACAGAGAGCATGCCCCGCGGCTAGAGAGTGTGCCCCTCGACAGAGAGCATGCCCCTCGGCTGAACAGCCCCCTCCCGCCCCATGAATGCAGCCCTCATTGCAGCCACCTGGCCTCGGCTCAGGCTGCTTCTCCTCCACATAGACTTGTCTTTGCCCTTCCTTGCCTGCAGAGCTCAGCTGTCTATCCACCTTCTGCCCCAAAGCGTTTGTTTCCCGAGAATTCCAAGCACTGCCATTGGAAAGCCACACACAGGGTGCTCTGTCCGAACCACACCTTCCTGTGCATTGTGCACTCATGTGTCTAGATTGTGAGAAGGGGCCTGGGTTCTGAGACTACAAGGCCATGCACTCGCTGGAGTGCGTCTCTGTGTGAGCCCAGAACTGTGCCAGGCACATACAAGCACCTGTAAAGACCCGCAGGCTGCATGGGCCTTCTGGTGTTGAAATCCAGAGTGAGCTGGGCTGGCCCCATGGCGTACTGGTCGGAGAGCTGGAGTCCACAGAGATAACCGGGGTTCAGATCTCGGCCCTGGCTTGAAAACGAGGCTGGGTGCAAGAGCATGCATGCTCCAAATCTTAACAGGAGGAAGAAGTAGAGAAGAGATTGGGGGTGACCACTCCCCACTGGGGATGCCTTCTCCATCTTCCTGCTTCTCTCTCTCTCTCTCTCTCTCTCTCTCTCTCAGATGTGCCCTCTGGCAAATTTTTTAAAAAAGAGAAAGCTGAAACTATAGAGACAGAGCTTAGTGACTGCTGAGGGCTGGAGGCGGGAGGGCATGTAGGAGATGATAGCTAAAAGGTATTACGGCTTTTCTTGCTGTTGTGGTGAACTATAAATAACATCAAATGAACCATTTTGAACTTTTTTCCCTCTAATTTTTGCCAAAGTGCTCGCTTGCTGGCGAAAGACAGAGAAGCACAGGGAAAGTGAAAAAGCACCCTCCCAGCCCCCATGGGGAATGCTCATGCTCAAGTCCCTTTCTTCCTCCTTTTGGGGTTCTGGGTACGTGCATGCCGGCTATGTTTTTCAGTCTGCATGTTCTGGGACTTGAACCACATGTTTGACCATGTGGGATCCAACTGCCTTAACTACCAGGCCATAAGCTGGCCCCCTTTTAACCATCTTACAGCTCAATAGCAGGGAGTACACTCGGTTATGCTTACGAGGCTTCTCGAGGTGATGAGAATGTTCGCGAATCGACAGTGGTGATGGCGGCAGGACTCTGAACATGCCAAATGCCATTAGGTTGGACATCTTAAATGGCTGAATTGTACAATAGCAAATTGTTAAACCATTTTGGCCTGAAACAGCCGCTGTACTC